TACAGAGTCCTGATCACTCCTAACTTGTGTTCCAGTGGGTGGTGGGAGTCAAAACGCAAATATTGGTCTGTGTGGGTGGGCTTACGATACACGCCAGTTTCCAACCGTCCTCCATCCGAAACCGAGACGTCGCAATCCAGGAACGCCAACCTGCTGTTTTTTACATCCTCTCGTGTGAACTTACGTAATATATTCAGCTGGAATGAAAACAAGCAAAAATGAAATAAAAGTAACGACTTTCTACTTCTTGCCTTTTTTTAATGTAAGGGGTAGAAAGTACAGATAACTGTGTTAAAATGTAAGAAGTACAAGTAAAAAGTAGGCTGAAAAATAATTATTCAAGTAAATTACAGATACCCAAAAATTCTATTTAAGTACAGTGACAGAATTTGTACTTCATTACTTTACAACTCGGGACACCAGAAAATCAGAAAAGTCCTTTCCTGTTGTTAAGTTTGAGCATTACTTAAGAATTATTAGTCAAAATAAACACCTATAAGGAAGTGAAAACACTAAATTGTAAAATGTGAACATGTCAAGTGTTTTGTTGCATAACAAAGTTATTAAATTAACTTCAATTTCTCAGCATCTATCATAAAATAAAAGCAAGAATTAGTTAAGCTAAACTACTTAGGTGTAGCAGATTGTTTATCAGGATTTTAACTTTAAATAATCTGGAAGATAAAGAAATAATTTGTCTTTGTTTTTTTAATATTACATTGTATTTATAGATGGTTCCTGCTTTGCAAAGACCTTTTTCTTCCACACATCATTTGGTGAATTTGTGTAAAAACACCTTGAAAATGGATTTGTGCCTGAGAGAAATTAGCACCCTTGACCTCTGACAGCAGCTAAATCTCCAGGGATTTGGCACACTCCCTGTTCTCTCGCGCTCTTCATGATGCTGTGTCAAACTAACCTGTAGGTTTGACGTCCACAAGAAGAAAACATCGTGACTGTTCAGGTGACACGTTTCAAGCTTTTATCAAGCATTTTGAGGCAGCCAATCCTGACGTTTCCCTCCAGATGGTTGTTTGGCGTCAGCCTCTGCCTCGGTCAAAGACCCGTCACAAAAGCTCTTTTCAAAGTCCTTTTGTGGCGCGCTGACCACAAAAACTGAGTGTGGGAACCCGAGAGCAACTTTCTGCTCACACACRTCACTAAATAAAGGAGACACCTGCTACATCTGCAGGGCAAAAACTTTCCCCGTTATTAAAAATATGTATCAGGATAAAAACACATCGGTTGAAACATGGKAAGATAAAAACACAATGAATGTTTGAGCCTGAAACCATAAAGATGTTTATAAAAAATGTATAGAAACTGATTTGGTTTGTTTTAAAAACCAACATGGCAAAAACATTTTTTTCATTTAGGTTCTAATTCTTTCAATAAAGTGTTGCAAATTCTTGTTTTTATAAATCTGGCTGCAGTTGTTGTTGGTTAAAAGGAACAGTTTCCTCTTTCTAAAGAGATGACAGCGTGTCTGATGGGATGAATAATGAGGCACACGCCAAAGAAAGGCGGGAGTGTGGGAAACCAGAGGGAACTCGCTCTCAAAGTCGCTGTGGGACAATAAAGGCCGACCTTTGACCTGAGGAGACACGGTCYTCACGGGGAGCCTGGTGTTCAAACTCAGAGGCTTTAAATTCCACTTTTTACTACTTCTAATCACAGAACTTTAATATTGTATCAAAAGTTAGCTGTCCGTCATGAGACGCTTTAAGATTCAGGCTCCCTAATGTTAACATTTCAGCAAATTCTCACACAYGCACCAATCGACTGGTCTCCAAAGGGATTTGGCACGTGTCGACTAACAGCTGCTGGTCCCACGCTCGGGTTTGCAACTTCAGTTAACTTGTAGCGTCAGATTCAAAGACAGCATCATCAGTTCAGGTTTGATCACATGGAGAAAATCAAAATATATATTTCCCTCCTGTCATCGTGACTCCCTCATACGTCCAGAGGTTTTTTATTATTATTATTATTATTTTAATTGAAAGTGGGAACAGAGGGAACTYTTTGATCAACACTGCAAACAAGGTATCAGTCTGCACTGCAACAAATGTCCGCCTAACCAAGCTTTTAAATCTTATATCCAGTCAAAAGATCTTTTTGATCTTGTTTTGAGACTGATTTATTAAACTAAAACAGAATGTAAGATTATTAATCTTGTTAGTCTGGAAGTTTGACTCAAATTAAGTGAAATAATCTGCCAAGGCAAGACAATGTAAGATTCTTGAAATCACTTAATTTCACTCAGTTTTTTTCTAATTTCCAAAACCTTATCAAGTGCAGTTG